TAAGACAGATATTAAAAGACATGAATTCTTTCAGTGTTTTCTTATTATAATCAAAAATTGATACCTTGCACCCATTAAAGCGATTAGTTGTCCTGGTTGAGCAATCCCCGTAACATCATGCAGTAATAATCGTTTCGTTTTTTTTGCAGTTACCGATAAACCTTCCCATGTTAAGAAAACCGGATCAACCGGTGGTAAATTGATGGCTGCATCGGAAGTAACGTTTGGATGCATTTTTAAATTAATGCTAGAAGTTAAACGAGAGCAACCAACTTAGGTCAATGACTGTAAAGGAATGAAGTTGAAATTAATTAAAACAATTCATTTATATAGTCCACAAGAAATGTTTATAAAATTAAAATTAAATAGCTCCACGTGCAATTTACACGTGCCACTAATATTGTTGCTGGAAATTAACGTTATCGTAGCGGTCTATTAACATATTTGTGATCACAGCCACTTTAGCTTGGAACTTAAGACTAAGCCATCAAACTCTTTCGGTATAAGTTCCAATAAGAATTCTTAACTTTTAGACAGGAATAACTCCTTTAGCCACTGAACAAGTAATAAATCGTGATATTTCCGGTCGTATATTTAAATAAAAACGTATCACTTCATTCCAACTTTATTCTTACCATCTAATAAACAACTTCTTATAAACCAAAAATAATAAGCCTCATTTCAGACAGCTGAACTCGTTAAAACAAAATTCCAGAATTAAGAATTTTTTTCTCAAATTCAATACTCTGACATGCTACTATGCTATTGTTACCAGTGCTACTTTGTTAATTTCACAGAATGTTTGAAGCATATCGTACCTACTTACATTATTAATCTGTGACTTCTGCATCGTCCTGCTTTTCATATTTCCAATTTATTCCGGAAAAACACTGAGGAAAAAGGAAGTATTCAATAGTCCTTCCTTCCTTTTTACCATATTTTGTTAACACTTCATTTTTTCTCTTTCAAAAATTTTTTAAATTGTTTTTTCCTTTTATTTCTGCATATTGCTGAACAGTCAAAAAAAAATTAACGCATCATAACTCCATATACAAAAAGAAAAGGAAGGGAAATGAAACGAAGGGAAAAGCTACAAATGTTTCAGACGTTTCCGTGGTGGATGACTCATAATAATAGGTGGCGTTTGCTGGGTTGCTAATGCACGAAATACTTCAGCAAGTAATGGTGGATGATCACGTACCAAACAACTCCAACCATCTGATTCCATAATTTCATTTGCATGTACATTCTGAAAATTTTTAAACTGTATCATTCACATTACACTACTTGATTAATAATGGATAGATCTTTTCTTCCTTTCCTCCTCTGAATGTTCCTTTCTACATTAAATCGTTAATTATGAGATGGAAAGTTTATGAATTACCAATTACAATCATTAAAATACACAAAGTTAATAGAAATGATAAACAGCTACAGGTGTTCCCTAAAATCTCAAGAACACATACTATCTCATTTGTAATTTAAAATTACTGAACACAATTTATACTAATCTATCTAAATTTGGGCACTTTCCCGTTAAAGAATTATTCCCCCCATAACTTGCATTTAAGGTGAAGACGTCAATTATGGTAACAGATATCCAAAAGAATTAAGCTAAGGATATAATAAAGTGTCAAACTATTACTGTAAACGTAAAATAAATAAATATATAAGTATGATGTTAATAAAGTAAACAGAACATCTTTAAATACCAATCATGAGAATCAAAGTAATTTCATTACATATGTATATGTAGTGAATTAGAAACCTGTAATGATAACTTTTCTTCTTTCCCATTATTTGTTGCTTCCCCTACAAATTTCATCTTTACTTGAAATTCTACTTTCATAACAGCAAACTTACGATATAATCAATAGCTTGATGTTTCAGTTGTTCAGCACTATGCAAATCAGCAAGGATCAATGTCTCACAGGCATTTTCATTCGTAAGATTTAAACATAATGCTTGCTCACACATAACCTGTAAAGGTATCACAATTGTAATTTTTCATTTGAAATCCCTAGAAAATCAAAGTTATGAAAGGATTTCAAATATTAAGGAAACTACTATTCCCTCATCATTCCATCTAATTCCTTCTAGTTATCATATCACTGACATTTTTACTCCTAAAATAACATAAATTTACAGTGTAATCGGTAGCGTCGCCGAGCAACAAAATAAACTTCAATAGAACAAATATTCCTCTTTTACCTATAACTTCCGTTCTCTTCAAATCAAAGTAAAGAATTATGCAGTATTTTCGACAGTTGAAGATATAAAAGGATAAAAAGAAGTTAGAAGATCTTCAAAACTATCTAGTACAACTTTATGAAATAGCATTTATTAAACTTTAATATGACTTCAAATATGGAAATAGTTATATGTATATATCAAGAAGAAAATTTACTTTCAATCTATCTAACTGATATTTATCGGCTGCCGCTAATAGCGTATCAGCCATGCGATCAAGATTGGGCGCTGCACCAGTATACATAAATCGCAACATTTCCTTCATAACATCGGGTTCAACATCATCGATAATAACACGATCCGACTGTGATTCACTCATTTTATGTTCAAAGCATGCAGCAAATACAGGAGACCTCGTCGCTAATACAGCTTTATGTACCTGCAACATTTTATCGAAAAATGCGGTGCAGGTGTAAAGTATCCTCTATCTAATTCAATTTATTTCTATATTCTATCATATTTACTTTAATTTAATACCGACACACTCTCAACCATCTCAAGATAAAAGGATAATCCATAGTATGAAAACTTACATGAAACTCTTTCGTACCGGTTACCAGAAGACAATCCGAGAAACAGTGCTTCTCGAAAAGATTAGCCATATCATCAGATAACCGACAAGATGGTACTTTGAACTGCATAAGATTTGACTGCCCTGTTACGTTAACTGTTTCTGCTACAACTGATACCTGGGAAAAGCTATCTATGAATTACAAAAGTATTATCCTTCATCCTGAATGAAGGATGAATACTTTAGGTTTTCTGAAGCATATGACAGCTATAAATTTCAGCTATAAATATATATGCAGATAAATATATATATGACAGCTATAAATATATATGCAGAAATAAGCGAAAAGTTTAGCTGTTGTTTACCAATTATGGAGAAAGTTAGCTTAAATTTATCACCTCGCAAAAAATACTTAGTCTGTCTTCAGGAAGGAGACCATTTGCTTCATCAAGAAGGAAATCTCGACGAATAAATTTTTTGAATCCCCAATCCTTTCCTTGCACAAAGCGATATGCACGTTGAGATTCTGAATTTCAACAATATTAATAAATTTTATATGATAATTTTATCTCAAGCTTTCGATTGCTGCTTACAAATATAGATCAGTTGGTGTGTCTCTCTTTTTAAACCCACCATAAATTCAAAACAAGAGAAAAACGAACCCATGGCCTTAGTTTCCTCCCGTTTAGCATTCAGTATTGAAAACTTGAATTTAGCGCGTACTTCATTTTTAGCACATTGTACAAGTAACAAGTAGAGTGATAAGTAATCCTTTGATTCTTCATCAAGTCCTGAAAATAAACGACTGAGAAATAAGTTAAAACTAAACCGAACTTACATTGAGAATTAAATTTAAAAGAAGTCCAATACACATGATGAGCAACTTGTATGAAGTCCTTGTGGAAAACCTTTAGTGTTTAAAAAATTATTGCAATATTTATCATCATTTATTTTTTATCTACTATTTATTATATATTTTATTATTTTATTATACATTTATTACAGCATGAGAAAGTCTATTATAATATTCACTACTCAAATTTATGGAAAATTTGAATCGAAAATGCAATATTTTATTGGATTTGAACTGATCAGAGATAAACAGAGACAGCATAAACTCATTAAATAAAAATAAATAATTAAAACAAGTGAAACACCTTTTGGGTTAATCCTTAAACACCATTTTAACTTGTCATTGGAACCAGCACTAAACGTTGAACTTTTTAGCACCTCGCCCATTTCTTCACGACAAAATGAAAAATTGTTAATAGTCCACATATAATTAAATTTGATTACTTTCACCTGAAAGTTGAAAAATTTTGTAAACAATCATATTTGCGAAGAAGATTCACGTTATGCAGCTTATTTTTCCCTAGATTTTATAAAATGATCCAGAAATAGTGAACCATCCTTATCAACAAAACCACAACAATCAATCCAATGTAAACAAATGGAATGATAACTCAGCTGTCTTTAAGATTTCACCATATTATTTTAATAAGTATTCGATATTCGTTCACTTTATTTCATAAAGCTAGTAAGAATTTTTTTCAGTCATTTTCAAAACAAGATTATTCATAACTGACAATAAAAGATTTTTTTATACTTCTGAAATGACTAACACATCTTTATTAATTTATAATAAAAGAAACATTTTGTCTTTAAGGATGCTTTTACTTGTTGCTAAATCATTTTCTGTTTTTAAAAAAACTTTCATTCCTTATGCTAGTAATTATATATAAGTCACTGCACTATACAGATGGTTTGGTCCATCTTCTAGCTGCATCTGTTTGCTTTATGTTTCCATTTGACTCGATGAAAACTCGTTACAAAGTTTGTATCAATGTTCTACAAACAAAATGTCCAAGAGCAATGCATAGTTCTATTCATTAGTTTATTTCTAATAAAATGGAAATTCCTTTCTATAATGTAAATATCATGCCTGTGTATGGCACCAATTCTCAGCGACGGGCATATGAACATCTGTTGGTGTCGTTGAGGTTGATGACGAACCACTTGCTGATGCTGATGGACTCTGAGCCCGACTACCACTGATGGCAGCTTGTCCCGGACCACCGCTAACAGATTCATCCTGGGCCGAGCCATCCGCATCCATTCTTATGTTAGAGTTTTGGAATTTCCGAATGTTAGTTACTGTATGTGAGAGTGTATGTAAGCCAAGTAATAGAAACGCCGAGATAAAATTAATAGAAATCGGAATAATAAGGCAATAATGCCTTCAAGCCAAACTATCGCAATATAACTTTGGTGAGTACAAAAGAGGAAAGGCTGAAAATTAATATATGAGTCGTTTGCAAAATGAAGGGACACATTCGAGCGCTAGAATACATGACATAACGAGGTAATACGACAAAATAAGGTTCCAATTTTAAAACACTTTATTTTCAGAACCTCAAATCTTCCAGCTAAAATCTCGGTTTTCTGTAACAAAAAATTTTATTCACAATTTTAGTGAGTAAAAATTACCTAAATGGAAACAAGTGAATGAAAGACAAACTGAGTCAAGCAAATATATATATTCCATGCTAAGATCTGAAACAAAGTCCAGACATAAACAACCTAGCAATACGAATAAACTTCCCTTGTTTTTGTAACCCGGTTGAAAATGTTCAACATAAGCTTGGAAGAATGGCTGAAAATATACATTTAATTGAATCAAGAATCAAATAAAATAAACAAAGGCAGATGAAATTCACAACAGTGTAATGATGTTGTAGTGGCGCTAACCGTATGTATAATTTAGATATGAAGAAAACAGTTGAAAAGATTATTTTAAAAAAGAAATCATTTCATTGAAAATTTTCAAAAGTAAAAAAAATTGCCATAAGTCTTGACAGTTTAAATCAACCGTTTTTGAAAAGCGAACCCAGAAGTTATCAAATTGCATTTCATTCATCATTTCAACAGTAGCACAATGCGACGTTTTGATTTTATAGTGACATTTTGCTAACATAGATGTCAGTATGAAGCACAATACACAATTTAATTAACGTAAAATTTTTTTTAGTAATAGCAATATGACTTATCAATAAACTAATTCAATTTATGTTCGACGCCTGAATTTTCATTGACGAAAATAATATGTATTACTCTTCAAAACAAACACATATAATACTTTTAAGAAAAATCTTTAATAGCATAATCTCTAGATTTCGTGATACACCTGAAAAACTTCAATATTCGATCTAAACTTAAATTAATAAAAAAATAAAGGTACAATACCATAGCAAATCTTCTTCGAATGATAATAACTTGAAGACTAAAGGAAAGTGGAGAGAGAAACAGATATACTACCACCCAAATACACAACTCTGCTCACGCATACACACACACACACACACATACAATGGGGCAATATCAGATGATGCTTCCGTGCCCCACGATCAAAAGTATTGACAGTGTCACTGTAGTTGTCCGTGCGCGAAATAACGAGCAAACAGCGGAGATGGCACCTTATTATTGCTTTGATGAACAATGTCTGTATCCCACATACACACATGCAATATACATGCAGACACACACGCACATGTGTATGGATGTAGATGCTTTACAGAGGTTAACTGATTCCAGCGTAACTACGAAAGTGATGTCCGGACTTGTAAGTGCGTGGTATTGTGTCTGCATAAGATACACGGACGGACACGTGCGTACACGCTCATACATGTGCTTGTATGGGAGTGCAAGGGATAAGGCCTGGCCATTTTGCTACTTGAAAAATGTGAAAAGCCTACTCATCCACAAAGCACTTCTCCTACCTTCATTCTGTCGTCATCTTTTCGTGCAACCTCGAGTAATTCTTCCGTCACACTCTTTGTCCCTCTTCAAGTTGCTCACCCCTCCTCTCACCATCTCTCTCCCTCTGCTTCTAAGTAGCTCTTCGCTTCTTTCATCTCTTCTACTTGTCTATGTACTTGCCAATTAACCTACCTTCAAAAATGGGCGATGGTACCTTCAACTAACCGACCAAGATTCAGATTCCGATACTTCACCCTTCGGACAGTCTGGCAGGTGTCTTCCTCTTTCTCCTCTTCGTCCTTTATCTCCCGTTCTCCCTTGCCATAGTCTAGTAGATGTCTCCTATCTCTCCTCCTTCTCCTTGTCCTCCATCCTCAGTCCTTCCTGTCACATTCCCTCCTCTGCATAGTGGTAACTCCACTCGAGCATTATGTGATTGTGACATGTCATTGACATACCCATTATTTGATTATAAAAAGAGCTAGCGTGAAACTGTCACGCTATACGTGTCCGCAAAACTTTATGAGAAAGCGGAAAACAAAAATAAAAATTTAAATCGAGGGATCAAAGGTCATACCGAAGTTTGAATATCTGTTCTCCATGCTCTTTCATCATCTTCCCATCTTGCTAACCTTCCTCTCAATAAATTACCGTTGTAAACAATCTCGTACTATATGGTGGGAGAATACCTCTCATATGACCATTGTCAATTAGTTCCTCTCTCTCTCTCCCCCTTTGCCTTTCTTGACTTACAACAAGAGCGCTCCAATCAAACAAATCCTTTACCAGACAATCTCATCGGATTCCTAAACCAAAATTTCCTACCAACTGAAGAAGGAGGAACAACCAAGTAATGAACTCTGACCCCAATATTCTCTGAAATTGTCTATAAAACAATTATCAGAGAATATTGGGATTGAAATTGACATTTATTAATAAATATAAATCTTCCATTAAACCTTTATACGCAAACTATTCGTCTATGACAAACAACAAAAGGACTTCGTTATCAAGCAAAACATTAGGAAAAAACTTTCACAATAATTAAAGATGAAATAAATTTCTAAAAGAAATAAAAATAATTGAAATGTGAACAACATGTATTACTTTCGCAATGTTTGGTACCAAACTATCAGATAGACATTTTATTCAGTCCATTGTAATCTAACCGAAATTCACTCCTAACTTTCATAGCTTTTCTAAAATTCCAAACAAATCTTTCACTCTGATTATTTAACAACATTTCATCATAACATATCTCTTACCTCTATATATTAAAGCAATTTTCTGGCGCTAAAATCGGAATATCTCCTTCGGAGATGTGAGTCAATTAAACTTCAAATATATTATTCATAAAAAGGTATCAATAAAACCTAATCTAAGCCACATAGTTTCCTCAATTTCTCATTTTTACAAAAAAACGAAACACCAAGAACCGGTCGAATTCAATCAAACCATCAGATATATACGTATATATGTTAATATATACGTATATATGTATATATATATATATATGTGTGTGTGTATGGATCTGTGTATGTGCTTCTCTCTCCCTCCCTCTCTCTTTCTCTCTCTTTCCCTGCCTACTCCACCTCTATTAGTTAGTCTCGAGAATGATTTTATTCTACCAATAGTTTGGGGCAAATCTAACGAAATGGGTTTGAGCAGCCCATGGGGAGTGTATGTACATATCAACATATACTCGTGATTTTAATTGGCTACAGCGATCATTTTCATTCTGCCCGTCTTTGCCCTGCTTCTCTGGAAATGATTAGTATTTATCCTGAAGTCACCATTAAGAGACTTGAAAAAGAAAAAATGACCAATTTAGTCTCGAGATTTCATCAGTAATAGGAAAGACTAATGCTAATAAGTTCATTAACAGTACATTGATAATGTTTTCAACGTTATCTATTTTTTTCCCCGTGATATCCCAGTGCTGGGAGTTTGGTAGAGATGAAACACTAATGGCAAATGTCTAGTAGACACACCTCGAAGTAAATAATTAACAATAATAGTAACAATAACAATAATAAATAATAACAATAGTAGTGACAATAATAGTAATAATAATAATAATATAAACATTAGCAATACGGAAATAACACAAAGAGGAATCTGTAATTAATTAACATTATTTCTTAAAATTTCTCTTCATTCTTTATCCAAATATATAATTGAAAAGACTTATTAATAAAAAATACATGCAGCATTTGGTAAAAATGAAGAAATTCTTGCCTTTCAATATCGATAACAGATCATCAAATATCGGATTCCACACTAATGGCATAAAATTATTTAAAATATAATCAGTGGATTGTAATGTGATGTGATCTTGGCTCTAAATTTGATTGTAGTATAATTAAAGTATTGGCAGAATTTATGAAATCCGAAAAGACTTCTCATTGGAAATGGAACATATCATAACATTATCAATAATGGAAAATTGTCATAATCAAATTTATTCGGCGGAATTTCGTTTTAAAATCTGATGGGTATCGATTATATGTGAAAGGAAATAACGGAAACTGATGAATATCATCACATTTCGTCCTTTCATTTTCACGTCGACGGAAAAGAATTCAGAAATATGAGATATTGTTTCCAAATTGTATCAAATCTTATAGAAATTATTTTCATCCAATTTCTATTAAAACTAAACAGAAAAAAGAGAAAAAAGAAATGCCTAACAAAAAAAGAAAAAGTAAAAGAGTGGAAGAAAAAAAAAAATTTGCAACAAATCTTTGTTCGTTGGAATAAGAAAGAGAAAGAAAAAGAAAGTGGAATATGAGAGAAAGGAATAGGAAAGAAAAATTAATGAATGAAAAGTGTCGTCCATAGAATAAACAGTTTATTAATTTAAAAATAGAATTTTAAAAGTATGAAAGGTGAGGACAGACGGACACGATGAAATTAACATTCACAGAAGAACTTTCTTTCATCTTTTGTCTTCCAGTTAAGACAGCAAATGGACAAAAATCGATTTGCTACACACTCAAAATAACCCCGAATTCATCGATTCTTCCATTCTCTGTATATATATATATATGTGTGTGTGTATGTGTGTATGTATGTGTATGTACCTGTGTATGTGTGTTGAGTGTGTATGTATGTGTGTATGTGCATGTATGTATACGTGTATGTACCTGTGTATGTGTGTTGAGTGTGTATGTATGTGTGTATGTGCATGTATGTATTCGTGTATGTACCTGTGTATGTGTGTTGAGTGTGTATGTATGTGTGTATGTGCATGTATGTATACGTGTATGTACCTGTGTATGTGTGTTGAGTGTGTATGTATGTGTGTATGTTTATGCGTATGTGTGTTTGTGAATATAAGTTTATGCATATATGTGTGTGTGAGAATTTTCCATCCATTGTTGCTGCTAATTGATCAAACTTGAACAAACTATGAAAGTTCTAATTAAATTTGTTTAAGATTGGATAATTATTGCATGCATATTTATAAAACATAAATAATGGTACATATCAACAAGACAATAATACATACATATAAGGATTAGCTAATTATAAAATGGATTTAAATGGTTTTTTAAAAAATGGAATTATTCTCATTTATTATATTTTTCCCTCTTTCCGTTTAAATGAAAAGTTTTACAAAGAAGATGTAGGTATGATTGCTAATTTAACAGTGATAGCAAATGATGAATTGTTGAAAAACAATAAAATTCAATGGGAAAAAAAGCATTTGGAATGAAATTATTGAATTGATCAATGTGTTGGTGTGAAGAGAAAAAACAGAAAGCGAAAAAGTGTTTATTAATTAACAGTAAAACATGGTAATTAGAGAATTAATAAAACGATTACCGTTTTGTTAAAATGTACGATTAGCAAGAATTCAAAAATTTTCATTTGGTGCCGCGTAAAATTTTAACACTGACATTTTTAATTATTGGTGACTGTTTCTTTTAAATTTTGTTTTGAAACGTTTGAGTTCATTGGCAGGAGCTGTTGACTTTAATTTAATATCTTAAGGATACTAAGCATTAATTAATAAATAATAAAATGAAGTACAAGATAGATTTGACCAGCTATTAGAGGTACTACAATAGCTGATGGTCAAGTTCAATGTTTTGTCTCGGAACATATGACACGTTTATCAGTAGTATGGCTATTTCTTCTTTTTTTGAGAATGAACATTACTTCAAATGCCTTAAACCCCGGTAACTCCTCGCACTATAAATCGCTTTCTGTTGAGATCGTATATTTCGATATCCATCTACAATCCATGATTAATCTTTTGTTCAGTGTTGCAATTAGATATTTTTTTCCAAGCGATATTAATTGGAATTTTTCAAGAAAAATAACAAAATTAGAAACAGTATTAGTTTTGTTTAAAAATTTATGGGTGAAAATTGTTTAAAAAAACGACAGTATTGGTTTGTTAAAAAGTTGGTGAATGATTATTATCCCCTTGCGTTGACTTTGCATTATCATGTATTCCAAAATTAAAACTAGGTATTATTGTAAATTATTTCCAGAGGGCACGTTCAGGTTTATCTTCAGAAGATGCTATATTTTTCATATGTAAAATTAAATATTTATTTATGTACAGATATACATATTAGTATTATTTTATTTCTATACTGTAGTTTTATTTTTATTCGTCGTTGTTTCCTATGTATTATATTATTATTAATTAATTAATTTACTACTTTGTTTAAGAAAACACACATGTATATCTAGATGCTCAATTATATGTTATTATTTAATAGATCGATACATCCACCGCTTGCTGTAATGAAACACTAAATGCGTCTGTCTAGCTGACTGATCATCTTAATGAAGCTCATTTTTGAGATAGGGCTTGTATTATAAGCATCATGAAAAACAACACTAGGCTGATCAGTCTATTTCAAGTGAAACATGGTGTCTATAGAAAGTTAGTGACAGTAGCAATGTAGGTAGAATCAGGAAATAGCCAACAATTCAAACCATTTTAATGTCACATTTCAAAATGTGCAAACAACTTTTCATTTTGTTATTGATTGGGAAATAATGACATTGTTTCATCTTTGCAGTTTTGCTAAGCAACAGTGATTGAATTCTCTTGAGGATTTGCAGGTTATCGCGAGATTGTTAGTTAGCTAGTCCTGTTGAAAACTGCTAACACTTATTTATTTTGCTCAACATTTGAGAAAGAAAAGGTTGAAAAAAATCGTAGGC